GATCAAATAAATCATTCTTTGATTTGAATTTGATCAAATCAAATATTCAAATGTCAAATCGAATTGCGGAACCCTACCATATGTAACTATGTATTTTTTTAAATAAGTAAAAAATTGATGAATGATTTATTTTGTTATAATACTTTAAAAACGTTACTGATTAATATACTTTTAAATAATAAAAAATAAGGATAAGAATATTGTTAATGCAATCAATAAATTGTCTTCAGAAATAATAGAAAGTAATCAAGCTATCAAGCTTATAAACAAAGATAAAGAGATCATTGCTACTATCAGACATGCTATCATTACATAGTAAGCTAATCAATATAGAATTATTTTATATCTTTTTTGTTTATTTATTTCTTTCAATTATTATCACACAGTGCAGAAAACTTAAAAGAACTCAAATTTTCCTTTTCTGAGTCTAACTTTAATAATGCTTTTCTGAATATATTAGCAAAGAGATTCTTAAACAAACAAGATCTTAAGATAGATATGTAGGTATAAACAAGAATATGACAGTCTAATTTTCATTTAATTAATTATTTTTCTTCTAATTTTGTAGTGGAAAGTTATATGCTGAACTTTTTTTAACGTAGAAATAAAGTATATTTGATAATCCTTTATATACTCATAAGTTAAAAGTATAACTTTCGAGATATACTAAAAAATAGTGTTAATGTTAATAATCTTAAAGATATTATCAGACTTAAAAGTGGTAATCTTCTATTCATCTACTACAAGAAAGTTATTAAGAATTAGATTGATCTTGTCATAGCTATTTGTAAAATTTTATATAATTTTTTAAAATAAATACTAATGCATCTGAAGATGATCTCCATCATATGTATGTTCTTAAAATTCAATCATAAAGTATATATATAAATATAGCAATTAATTTTTATGATTAATATGCTTTTTTGTTCTTATAATAAGGATAGGTCTATGAAACCTATGCTATAAACTGTAAAGTTATAAATGTATTATATCTAAAAAGACTTTTCTGAATCAAGATACTTAATACTAAAAATACTAAAAATGCCTCTTTAAACTATTTTTAGAAAATTTGAGTTTTGAGATATTTGAGATAAAACTATTTATTTATAATAAATATCTTTACCTAAACTTCTAATATGTTTTCCTAAACTCAATTAAGTTTCATCAAGTTTTAGATTTAAAAAAAAGTCATTTTAAAGGTTTGAAATAGTTTTTAAATTTTTAAACTATACGTAAAATACGTAAAATAGGTTTTAAACAGCATTATTACCTAACATTATGAAAATACTTACAATTCTATGCATTTATTAAGATATTATATGCTTATTATTTATTATAATTAAAAATATATAGCATTATACTATAATATTCAACTTATTTTAGTACATATAGAAAACAATTTACAACTATACAAATAATGTCTTGCTTTCTAATTCACGTATACATAGGAATTGTAAAAGAAAAGATCTAAAATATGATAATCAAGGTAGGTTATTTAGTATTCCTTTGGTAAGCTCAGTAAATAAGAAAGATTGAAAGCATAAAGATTCTTCAGTATAAATTATGAGTTTTTGATAAAAATCAAATCACGAAAATTATTAGAGTATAATATAATGTAATGAACTAAATATCTTAATCATGTTTAACATTATTATTGTAATAAATTATAAAGAATAAGACGTGTAAAGTTTTATAATATATTGTGTGGCTAGGTCTTATTAAAAGATCAGTGACGAAATATATTAAATATCTGTACTATACATGAAATCGAAATGAAAACCCAAAAGTCAAAATGTTTCAACTTTGGAGGTCAAAATCGAAATGAAAAGTCGAAATGGTTGAAATTACATTATATCACATAATTTTTTATATATAGAAAAAAAAACAAAAGATGTATAATATCGGTCAATATCGCTCCGATTCGTATGAAACAACTACCATTCGATTCCTTGCGACTAGACGAATCCAATGAGATAACATTCATTGAATTTGGATTATTCCATTTCGAGATATTTGCGATCGTGTTTCGAAATCCGGACTCTTTTATTTAAAGTAGAATTTGATGATTTATAATTTCGGCTGATAATACAATTGTGAGTATTTCGTGATTGGATGATCCGAAATCAATGAATGTTAGTTCATTGGATCCGCCTAGTTTCGAGGAATCGAATGGCAGTTGTTTCATACGAATTGGAACGATATTGACCGAGATCGTACATCTTTTGTTTTTTGTTTTTTCTAAATATGAAAAATCATATGATATGATGTCATTTCGACTATTTCGCGACTTTAGCCTCCAATGGTCGAAATAATTTCGACCATTTCGATCATTTCGGATATCCGAAATGATCCATTTCGACTTCATGTATAATCTGTACCTTAGAAATATATCTTATTTCTTTTGAAATAATAACTGAAGTATGTATATTACTAGGAACACGTGTATTACAAAAATAAAGATAATATATTAAAATCAATGATTGTAAGTTTCAAATTTACTTAATAAGATCCAATTTTTGAAAATGCACATAAATAACATATATAGGTCTTCGTAATACCAAATATATCTTAAAGCAATCTAATTAATTCTCTTCATACAATTCTTTCTTGAGTTGATCCCGTGCTTACTATTTGAAAAATTATTGGGATTACCTCTACGAAAAATTTTTATATATTTTTTATATTGTATACCTTGTACTTTGATTGCAAAACTATATTGTAAATAAAATATATTATGTTCTAGCCCAAATAGATATTTTTGCATTTTTAAAAACTAGGTCTGCAATTAGTAAAGGAGAAATAAGATATTTTGTTAAAATCTTGTGACATGATTTTTCTCTTTTATATTTTAGGTAGAATAGATATTATTTAACATTGCTGAATAATGTAGTCCATTGACACATTTCTATAATAAAGCTAAACAATTATTAATAAAATATTCAGAAAGACATGATCAATTTCTATTATATGCTACTTGCTTGATATCTTCAAGTATATAGGATCTATTAACAGCACAATATGAACATTATGTCTTATAATTTTTTTATATTATTAAAAGATGCATTCTACTTATGTCCTTTAGAATAATGCCTAAAGATAAAAACTATTAATATATAAAAGCGTTTTCAGTAAAATCACATTATGGATCATATGATTTATTATACCTCATGACTTGATTTACTGGAAACGTTTCCATATGATTTAAAAAGACATTCACTATTTTTACCAAAAGTAACTTGCTTAGTATCTTCAATTATATGACTTATATTGTTTACATAATATGAATACTATATTTTACTATTTTTAATATTATTAAGAGATATAGCTTACTTATAACTATTTGTATATCATTACTTCATTAGAGTGTTAGCATTAATATACTTGATTGAAAGACAAAGCTCACAATATTTTATAACACTTGCATAAGCATTATTTATTATCAACTTTCTCATTGCAAAAAGATGATTCTTCAACAAATAATTAAAACTTTAATTACCAGATTTTTGAAAATTATAATCTTTAAAATTTAATAAGAATGTTTTTTTCTTTTTACACTTCTTTTGTAACTTCATCTTTCTTTACAGATCTAATGGAATATCAAATCTTAATTGAATTGCAAGTAGATCATCATCTGATTTATTTAGATCAAAGACAATAAACTCACCTTTTCAAAAATAGTTATTAATAACTATGAAAGCATTTTTTATATCTTTAGAATAATCTTGAAAATATTTTGAAAAGAACTTTTACTATAAATATTATTAAATAGGAAATATTCTTATGAATAATTATTAGTATATAGTAATAATATAGTATTACATATATGTTTAAAATGTTTTTATAATGCCCATGAGTAAAGAAAGTGGTGATTTAATTTTATATATATTTCAGAGTAATATACAAGTCTTTAAAAATGATAACAGTACTTCATTCTAGTAAAAATAATTTTACATTTGAAATCCTTTGGGAAAATATAGTTAAATTGTATATTCTTATAATATGACACTCTAAAATTCTTTACAATTATTCTATACATTGTTACCAACTAAAAATTCACTATTGAAAAGTTGATCTATAAAGAATTATCAAGTGATTTATCTACAGAAATTACTGAAATTAATTTTATGTCAATTACAAATTAGAAGATCTGCATAATTTTGGATCTATAGGATTCTTTTCTTTTATGCAGTTATTATGCTAATTCAAAGGTATGGATGAGAAGTGATATTTTTGGTGAATAGCTTGAATATATTAATATTATATTTTGAGCACAAAATTAAAAAATATTATTGCTTATAGATAATGCGTTATCTCACTTCAATCCTAATAAGGATAATAATCAAGAAATTGAAGAAAATGATAATTTGAATTTATTATATGTTAGAGTACATTTTCTTTCACCTAATACAACAGTTCATTTGCAACTTATGAATGCTAAAATCATTAAAAGCTTTAAAGCAATTTATAAGTAACATTATATATGACATATTCTTTATCAATTTGAAACAAATGTTGATTTAAAAAAATAAGTATTTAATTTAATGTATTTATTATATTGATTTCTTAAATACTATATTTATTTAATAAAAAAAAACAAAAATTTTTTTTAGAAATAAAATTAATGTTAAAGAAGCTATGGAATATGTTATAAAAGCTTGGGATTTAGTAATAGCAGAAACAATTACTAATTGTTGACGAAAACTGGAATTTTACCAACCATTAATAATGATGATGTTAATGATATTGATGATATTGATATTGATGATATTAATGATATTTAACAAGATGAATTAGCAATTCAAGAAAATCAAAAGATTATTAAAGATCTTTTGTAAAGATTTTCATCTATTCAAGATGAATCTTTTTTATTGGAATTAAATAAATATTTAGAAACGATTGACTTAAATATTTTAATAGAATAAGTACTAATTGATATTGAAATTATATGTTTAGTTTTAGATGAAGAATGTAATAAATTGAATTAGATGATAGCAGATCTGAAAATGAAAGTTCAGCAATTAGAACACAAAAAGGTTTTAACAGACTTAAAATATATATCCAATATTTTGAAGAGTAAGATAACAAAGAATTTAATATGAAGGAAATGTGTATTTTTAGAAGATATATGAATATTATGCAATGGAAGTTTGTAAAAAGTAAAAATAAAAAACTATTACAAGTTTTTTTATACCAGCTAATATATAAAAGATAGATTGATTTTTGTAATTATATTATATTTTCAGTTTATCTGTTCTCAATAGTCTATCAGTTTCATGTATTTTTATATAATCTAATAAAAAAATATATAGTCAATAAGAAAAATCTACTTATTATTCATATGATTTTGCTATAATGCTTACTAATAGATTAGAAATTTCTCAAGATGCATTACAATTTTCCTCAGGATGGCTTTATAAGTTTAAGAATAGTAATGGTATTCATCAATAAAAGCTCAAAGAAGAAGCTTTATCCGCTGATAAAGCTGCTATTATTAATGCTCTACCCTTATTAAGAGAACGTTATTCCAGTTATCCTTCTAAAAAAATTTATAATATGGATGAAACTGAACTATTTTATAGGTAAATTTTAGTAATATAAAAAA